AGTATAGGTTGGCAATTTGTAATTTTCCTAAAAACAGCCATAACTAGTGGAAAGTGGGTATTAGGAATATGACTGCCCAGGAACAGGTACCAAAAACACCTCACCCGAACGCGCCACCTTTGACGTCGCTCGCGCGGTGACAAAAAAAATGGTGAAACAGGTTTCCCGCCTATGGCATAAACTGCATGTGCATGTTAGCTGTAAAAATGCGTTCGTCTGCAGGGTATAACCACACGTGATGAAAGCACACAAAAGAAATGCCACGACTGTCACAGGAGCAGGGAGAGAGAGTCATCGGTATGGCCGAAATGGGGGCAACACAGGTCCAAATTGCCAGAAGGTTTGGTTGTACACCATTGACAGTAGCCAGGCTCATTCAACGGTATAGGCAGACAGGGAGGACACAGGACAGGCCTAGAACCGGACGACTCCGAGTGACAACACCACTGGAAGACGGTCAGATACGGCGCATTCACTGCGAAACAGATTCGTATCGGGGACGGCGACGGCAGCAACAGCGTTGGGACATCCCATTAGCCAACGTAAAGTACTACGACGACTTCGTGCTGCTGGAATCCGAGCGTATCGTCCTTTCCGAGGAAGGGTACTGACTGCTCAACATCGACGCCTGAGACTGCGATGAGCGAGGCAGGTTCGACGCTGGCAAGAGTAGTATAACTGTAAATTTATGCAGGACCACATTGAATCGTTTTCGGCTCAGTTCTCACAATTTAGAAATTGAACGTGGACGACATTTCAGTATTCCATATCGAAAATGAATATCACTTTTTGTTAATTTGTTCAGCTTATAGCCAGCTTAGGCAAAGTTACATGAAATCTAAATTTTACATCTTTCCAAATATTCTGAAGTTCAACATGAATACAGGAAAGTACTCGTTTTCCGCAAATGCTGAAAAGAATACATGTATTCTCCCTTCAAATTCGCGCGTTTTCTCAGGAACAACATATAGTAGAGCCATGGGACTTGTGTAAATACACTGCACCTTTCATATTCCAACAACCTCTCAACAACGTCAACCTGGTCGTTATCTGCAGGTTTTCTTATAAGTCATTAAAGACATGTCATTTGGACGAATCTTCGTACAAAGGTGTATCTAGGGACACTATACAATATGGCTTTATTTACGTTACTATCTTGCTTCCATGGAAACGGAAGAGCTCCGATTGCTCGATATTCAGAGATTTCATTCCAATTTGGTATTTAGATACAATGTATTTCAGGACTCAATCGAATAGGTTTTCCTACCATCATGGCAATGTAACCGAGGCATCTGATTGGTCGACATGTAGTTGTTCGATTTCGTTAAAAGATATTTAGATACATTTTTGCACACACAGCACATTTTATTACAATAGCAACGGAATGGAGTCCTCTGAATGGTAGAAATTTAGATGGTTAACCCTATTTAAGACTATTTTCCCATAGTAGTAAGTGCTCTTTGTGATACTACGTGTGGATGATCAGCACAAGAACCAGCAATATAACCTCATTCAGAAATCCAAGATGGCCTCACAGTCGCCATTTTGTATTTTACAGGTCTCAAACATCCAAATGGGAAAATATCTTTTTATGAATATCATTTCATTAGATTATTAGTTCATTGTACCTTCGCAGTTAGGGGGTATAATGGAATCAGCGTGTCCGACTGTCTGTCGATCTGTCCGCAGAAAATAACTTTGCCTTTTATTACTTCGTCATTTCAATTTGTCTGGACAACTTCTAAACTACTACATCGATTTCTTAAAAATATGTATGTAGGTGTAGAAACGGACAAATGTACGACATGCCTTCATTTCCATTACCATGGTGGCACCATGGCAACGGAGCGGAGGCCCCTGATTGGTCGAAAGTTAGAAATTGTCCGATTTCGTTCAAATTTTGTACATTGACGACATGTTATGGGACTCCGAGCACAAACACATATTTTTGGTTTCTACCATGTCAACAGAAAGGAGGCCTCTACTTGCTCCTTTAAATACTCTACCCTATTTCGGCACCATGGCAACGGAACGGAGGCCTCTGATTGGTCGAAAGTTAGAAATTGTCCGATTTCGTTCAAATTTTGTACATTGACGACATGTTATGGGACTCCGAGCACAAACACATATTTTTTGTTTCTACCATGTCAACAGAAAGGAGGCCTATGATTGCTCCTTTAAATACTCTACCCTATTTCGTATAATCTTCTTAAAACAACAGAGGTTGCGATTATGGGGTTCAGAATAATTTCAGGGGGACGTTTGGATACTTATGTTAACATTATCATTTGTCTGCGGGAGGTATTTAATCCCTATAGAACAGTTCTAGTTAGCTCAATTTGATCTATACGTGCAAGATGGCCGAAAGGCTTATGTGACGTATTGCCATCCGTCTTTGTATGGCATGCGTCATCCGTCATGCGAAATCTATTCACAATTAAATACCATTTATTCATAAAATATTTCGAAAGATAGCATTTATAGCCAGATAGCTAGTCTGGTACGAAGTTCCGCGGTGAGCTTATGTCACCTCCCCAGAAGATCGAACGGTGGGTTCCTATCTGACATGAAATACTCTACAGGCGGTATGCCGAATGTTCTTTTTCGCTGTTTTCAATCAACAATGGTCTTACTACAGGATATGCTAAGCTGCTATAGAAAAGGTATAGACTTCATATCCGAATAACTTTTCAGGGCTATTTTTGACTCGATACGGTACACGTGAAACCGACGGGTTGTTTCGTTGCATTGGCATTCCGGTGGTTTATAATGTCATCTGATTCCGGAGCATTCTCAACTGTCACATGCCTAATACTGCTTCAAAATGACCATTATTGAATTCCTAAGACTCTGTTAATGGATCATTCCAACAACCCACCACCATCTTCGGCTTGGTCGGAGTCCTCCTTTCCGGCGTTGTGGTATTAGGTGAGGTGAGGTGAGGTGAGGTGAGGTGAGGTGAGGTGAGGTGAGGTGAGGTGAGGTGAAATTGGGTTTAACGTCGCGTCCAAGATTATTACACTTATATAGCGACGTGCATGTACGTGTGTGTGTTTGTGTGGCTGCTTGTACTAGTCCGGACTGATGCCGATTTATAGTGCTAGCTTACTGAGATACCATGCCGCAGTTTAACATGAATACACCACTCAGACACAGTATACTGACTCCGAGCCGACCAGTCCTTGTTTTAGCCCCTTAATGCCGAGCGCCAGACAGGGTAACAACAAGTACCATCTTTTAACGTCTTTTGGTATGACGCGGCCGGGGATCGAACCCCGGACCTTCCGCTCTCCGGGCGGACGCTCTACCACAAGACCACGGAGGCGGTCCGTTGTGGTATTAGGATAGTAACGGACATGAGGCTACCTTGCAGAGTATTGAACGATAACCTTTGTACAACAGCAAGTTGAAATCGGTTAAAAGGGTTATCATAAACCCTTTGATAAAACCTGCATATAGCAAACAGGAAGTCGTTGTAGAGAGGGAATCTAAACTAGTCTTTTGCACATCTAGACAAAGTCACGATCAATTAAATATGCGAAGTTTCATGAATGTTCGATAAGTATTATTTCGTAGTGATAATCCTTAATATAAAAGCAAATATTATTGACACTTCAACCCTTAATGTAAAATTCTTTAAATTAAGAGTATTTTTTTTTAAATTAAGAGTTGTAACAAGGGTTAACCCGCAACCCTTAATGTAAAATATATTTACATTAAGAGTATTTTTTACATTAAGGATTGTAACAATTATGTCATCGTATCCCGATTGCGTGGATCGATGCTCATGATATTAGTTACTGGATTGTCTGATTCGATTACTGGTCCAGACTCGATTATTTCAAGACCACTGTCATATAGCTGGAATATTGCCGAGTGTGGCGTTAAACAAACAAACAAACAAACAAACAAACAAACAATATGAAACTTAAGACTAGCTGGAGCTTACATTACGTGCAGCCAGCAAAAGAATCATCCTAAATACACAAGTTTAATGACACATTCCCGCCACTATTCTAGGGAAGCGACAAAGGCCAACAAAAGTTGCCACTTGTCCTTAAGGAGGCAAGAGTGAGTGAGTGGGTTGGGTTTAACGCCGCTTTTAACAGTATTCCAGTTATGTCGCGGCGTGTCAGCTTGATGTGGTAGGAAAGCCCGAAGTGATGCAGGTCTCACACGTTTACCACTTCGGTGAAACCCACGAGCACGGGTATGGTGCTGACAAACCTACAAACATAATCAGGGCGAATCGGGATTCAAACCCACAATCATAGGTTTCTGGCGTCAAGGCGCGAATCGCGGCGCCTTAGACGACTGGACTACCCGTGCCCCCTCAGGAGGCAAGAGCTAACATAGGCGTACTTCACTCTGATGCTCGGCGACTAAATTGCATTAGGGGTTGACTGTGTGTCATCGCGCCCCGATCTGGATCCGGAATATTGCGACAAACAAAACGGGTAGTGTAAACCTGCATGCATGGGAAGAGTAGTGCCCCTTACTGCACCACGATCCGCCGTTGTAAATTGTCAAAGCGGCGTAAAATTAATCTCACTCACATCCTCCCCAACCTGAATTGAACCAGATTATCAAACTCAATGATGTCGCACGTACTGTTTTCCTCAACTCCTGTAACCATGTCGCAATACTCCCTCCCCCAAGCGGCCTCGTCTTCCCCATCTGTTGTTCACCTCCGCCGATGTGACGTCGCCACGCGTCTGTCTGAAGGTAAGGGAAGACCAGTCTTTGTTCTCACACGCACACGGCCGCCTGTCGCCGAATGATGACCCATCCCACGCTTTGATATCCACCTGTAGTCCCATACGTACGTATCTTTTACCTCCGTCGCTCCATTTGATGCGGAAATGAAATTCGTATCATCTTAACGAGGATGAAAGTAACGCTAAAGAAGCGCTTCTGACCATTATCTTTTCATGTCGCTTCGTGTTGACATACGACTGAAGTGTTATTGAGGATTCGTCACACGAGTCCGAAAGTTGAAAATGTCATCTTTTTCATGTCCGAGGAAGCTGGAGATGTACAGGAGGAAGATGGAGGCGGGATGCGGAGAAAGGGGACTTTTATTTAAGTGTCCAATGTGTCCCAAGTGTCCAATGTGTCCCAAGTATCCTATGTGTCCCAAGTATCCTGTGTGTCCCAAGTGTCCTGTGTCCCAAGTGTCCAATGTGTCCAAAGTGTCCAATGTGTCCAAAGTATCCTATGTGTCCAAAGTGTCCTGTGTCCCAAGTATCCTATGTGTCCCAAGTGTCCAATGTGTCCCAAGTATCCTGTGTCCCAAGTGTCCAATGTGTCCAAAGTGTCCAATGTTTCCAAAGTATCCTATGTGTCCCAAGTGTCCAATGTGTCCCAAGTATCCTGTGTCCCAAGTATCCTATGTGTCCCAAGTATCCTATGTGTCCCAAGTGTCCTGTGTCCCAAGTATCCAATGTGTCCCAAGTATCCTGTGTCCCAAGTGTCCAATGTGTCCCAAGTGTCCAATGTGTCCCAATTATCCTATGTGTCCCAAGTGGCCAATGTGTCCAAAGTGTCAAATGTGTCCCAAGTATCCTATGTGTCCCAAGTATCCTATGTGTCCCAAGTATCCTGTGTCCCAAGTGTCCAATGTGTCCCAAATATCCTGTGTCCCAAGTATCCTATGTGTCCCAAGTATCCTATGTGTCCCAAGTATCCTATGTGTCCAAAGTGTCCAATGTGTCCAAAGTGTCCCAAGTATCCTATGTGTCCCAAGTATCCTGTGTCCCAAGTGTCCAATGTGTCCCAAATATCCTGTGTCCCAAGTATCCTATGTGTCCAAAGTGTCCAATGTGTCCAATGTGTCCAATGTGTCCAAAGTGTCCAATGTGTCCAAAGTGTCCAATGTGTCCAAAGTGTCCCAAGTATCCTATGTGTCCCAAGTATCCTATGTGTCCCAAGTATCCTGTGTCCCAAGTGTCCAATGTGTCCCAAATATCCTGTGTCCCAAGTATCCTATGTGTCCCAAGTATCCTATGTGTCCCAAGTATCCTGTGTCCCAAGTGTCCAATGTGTCCCAAATATCCTGTGTCCCAAGTATCCTATGTGTCCCAAGTATCCTATGTGTCCCAAGTATCCTGTGTCCCAAGTGTCCAATGTGTCCCAAATATCCTGTGTCCCAAGTGTCCAATGTGTCCAAAGTGTCAAATGTGTCCCAAGTATCCTATGTGTCCCAAGTATCCTATGTGTCCCAAGTGTCCAATGTGTCCCAATTATCCTATGTGTCCCAAGTGGCCAATGTGTCCAAAGTGTCAAATGTGTCCCAAGTATCCTATGTGTCCCAAGTATCCTATGTGTCCCAAGTATCCTGTGTCCCAAGTGTCCAATGTGTCCCAAATATCCTGTGTCCCAAGTATCCTATGTGTCCCAAGTATCCTATGTGTCCCAAGTATCCTATGTGTCCAAAGTGTCCAATGTGTCCAAAGTGTCCCAAGTATCCTATGTGTCCCAAGTATCCTATGTGTCCCAAGTATCCTATGTGTCCAAAGTGTCCAATGTGTCCAAAGTGTCCCAAGTATCCTATGTGTCCCAAGTATCCTATGTGTCCCAAGTATCCTGTGTCCCAAGTGTCCAATGTGTCCCAAGTGTCCAATGTGTCCAATGTGTCCAAAGTGTCCCAAGTATCCTATGTGTCCTAAGTATCCTATGTGTCCCAAGTATCCTATGTGTCCCAAGTGTCCTGTGTCCCAAGTATCCTATGTGTCCTAAGTATCCTATGTGTCCCAAGTATCCTATGTGTCCTAAGTATCCTATGTGTCCCAAGTATCCTATGTGTCCTAAGTATCCTATGTGTCCCAAGTATCCTATGTGTCCTAAGTATCCTATGTGTCCCAAGTATCCTATGTGTCCCAAGTATCCTATGTGTCCTAAGTATCCTATGTGTCCCAAGTATCCTATGTGTCCTAAGTATCCTATGTGTCCCAAGTATCCTATGTGTCCTAAGTATCCTATGTGTCCCAAGTATCCTATGTGTCCTAAGTATCCTATGTGTCCCAAGTATCCTATGTGTCCTAAGTATCCTATGTGTCCCAAGTATCCTATGTGTCCTAAGTATCCTATGTGTCCCAAGTATCCTATGTGTCCTAAGTATCCTATGTGTCCCAAGTATCCTATGTGTCCTAAGTATCCTATGTGTCCCAAGTATCCTATGTGTCCTAAGTATCCTATGTGTCCCAAGTATCCTATGTGTCCTAAGTATCCTATGTGTCCCAAGTATCCTATGTGTCCCAAGTATCCTATGTGTCCTAAGTATCCTATGTGTCCCAAGTATCCTATGTGTCCTAAGTATCCTATGTGTCCCAAGTATCCTATGTGTCCCAAGTATCCTATGTGTCCTAAGTATCCTATGTGTCCCAAGTATCCTATGTGTCCTAAGTATCCTATGTGTCCCAAGTATCCTATGTGTCCTAAGTATCCTATGTGTCCCAAGTATCCTATGTGTCCTAAGTATCCTATGTGTCCCAAGTATCCTATGTGTCCTAAGTATCCTATGTGTCCCAAGTATCCTATGTGTCCTAAGTATCCTATGTGTCCCAAGTATCCTATGTGTCCTAAGTATCCTATGTGTCCCAAGTATCCTATGTGTCCTAAGTATCCTATGTGTCCCAAGTATCCTATGTGTCCTAAGTATCCTATGTGTCCCAAGTATCCTATGTGTCCTAAGTATCCTATGTGTCCCAAGTATCCTATGTGTCCCAAGTGTCCTACATGTATGTGTCCAATGTGGCCCAAGGGTCCCAAGTGTCCAGAGTATCCTATGTGTCTCAAGTGACCCTTCCGACCCAAGTGTCCCAAGGGTCCAAAGTGTGCCATGTGTCCCAAGTGTGTCATGTGTCCTAAGTGTTCCATGTGTCCTTGTGTCCCAAGTGTCCCTTGTGTCTCAAGTGTCCCAAGTGTCCCAAGTTTCCCAAGTGTTCCACGTGTCCCAAGTGTGGCATGTGTCCCAAGTGTCCCAAGTGTCCAGAGTGTGTCATGTGTCCTAAGTGTTCCATGTGTCCCTTGTGTCCCAAGTGTGCCATGTGTCCAATGTGTCCCAAGTGTCCAATGTGTCCCATGTGTCCCAAGTGTCCCAAGTGTCCCAAGTTTCCCAAGTGTCCCAAGTGTCCCAAGTGTGCCATGTGTCCCAAGTGTCCAATGTGTCCCAAGTGTCACATGTGTCCCAAGTGTCCAATGTGTCCCATGTGTCCCAAGTGTCCCAAGTGTCCGATGTGTCCCAAGTGTCCCAAGTGTCCGATGTGTCCCAAGTGTCCAATGTGTCCCAAGTGTCCGATGTGTCCCATGTGTCCCATGTGTCCCAAGTGTCCGATGTGTCCCAAGTGTCCCAAGTGTCCCATGTGTCCCATGTGTCCCAAGTGTCCCAAGTGTCCCAAGTGTCCAATGTGTCCCATGTGTCCAATGTGTCCCAAGTGTCCCATGTGTCCAATGTGTCCCAAGTTTCCCAAGTGTACTAAGTGTCCCAAGTGTCCCAAGTGTCCCAAGTGTCCCATGTGTCCCAAGTTTCCCAAGTGTACTAAGTGTCCCAAGTTTCCCATGTGTCCCAAGTGTCCCAAGTGTCCCAAGTGTCCCAAGTTTCCCAAGTGTACTAAGTGTCCAAAGTGTCCCAAGTTTCCCAAGTGTCCCAAGTGTCCCAAGTGTCCCAAGTTTCCCAAGTGTTCTAAGTGTCCAAAGTGTCCCAAGTGTCCTACAAGTCCAAGTGTCCCATGTGTCCCAAGTGTCCCATGTCTGCCATGTGTCCCAAGTGTCCCATGTCTGCCATGTGTCCCAAGTTTCCCAAGTGTACTAAGTGTCCCAAGTGTCCCAAGTGTCCCATGTGTCCCAAGTGTCCCAAGTGTCCCAAGTGTCCCATGTGTCCCAAGTGTCCCAAGTGTCCCATGTCTGCCATGTGTCCCATGTCTGCCATGTCTGCCATGTGTCCAAAGTTTACCATGTCTGCCATGTGTCCCAAGTTTCCCAAGTGTACTAAGTGTCCCAAGTGTCCCATGTGTCCCAAGTGTCCCAAGTGTCCCAAGTGTCCCATGTGTCCCATGTGTCCCAAGTGTCCCAAGTGTCCCAAGTGTCCCATGTGTCCCAAGTTTCCCCAGTGTACTAAGTGTCCCAAGTGTCCCAAGTTTCCCAAGTTTCCCAAGTGTCCTACAAGTCCAAGTGTCCCATGTGTCCCAAGTTTCCCAAGTGTCCTACAAGTCCAAGTGTCCCATGTGTCCCAAGTGTCCCATGTGTCCCAAGTGTCCCATGTGTTGTAAGAGCCGGGTGACCGGGTGGTCGGACCAAATAACACACGTGGGACGAGTCGGAGGTCTGAACAAGCCATCAGTGCACGTACCCTGACACGACTGAAGGACGTAATTCTACTGTAGGGCGTTAGGGGCCTGCCACACACTGCCGATATACCCCGCCGGGACGAAACCGGAGCAGAATATCTATAACCGCGAGAAAATTGGCGGAGCTGCTGCAAGAAAATTGACCGTAGCATTATCGATGCAGTACCGGCGTTCCCGTTGTGATACCGTTCTTCTACCGTTGTCCTACCGATGTAAGAGCCGATGTGCTACCGAATACCACGTTTCTGTCACCTTAGTGTTACCGATGCGCCGCCGATGTTATACCGATGTACCACCGTTGACCGGAGCTATAGCGGAGTGATACCGCTGGGCTGCCGATGTGATGACAGTGGAGCTCCGGTATCACATCGGCGGCGCATCGGTACTACTTCGGTGGTACTCGGTAGTACTACGGTATTACATCGGCGGCGCATCGGTACTACTTCGGTGGTACTCGGTAGTACTACGGTATTACATCGGCGGCGCATCGGTACTACTTCGGTGATACTCGGTAGTACTACGGTATCACATCGGTACCAGTACGGTACACATTGAGGCCATCCGAGAGCCGCCGATCCATTACGGGCGCTACCGGTGCTCTACGGACATTAACGAAGCCATACCGGAGTACTGCCGTTGCAGTCCCGCTGCTCGCTCCGCGGGAAGTTTTGACCATGTTCTCCTGTTGTCCTGACGATGTACTACCGTTCTTAGCAATGTGATACCGTTGGGCTGCCGTACTAGTACCGATCCCCGAAAATCGCCATATTTGTGCTCCGGTATAGCTCCGGCGACCCAAATCGGTGCGACAGGCCCTTTAAATAAGATTAAACACGAAACAAAAATTCGTATCTCCACGTAAAGAACAAAAGTTATCACCTCTACCATACATGGTATCCGGGTAAGAATAGGTCTTCAGCAACCTATGCTTGTCGTAAAAGGCGACTATGCTTGTCGTAAAAGGCGACTAACGGGATCGGGTAGGTCTTCAGCAACCCATGCTTGTCGTAAAAGGCGACTGTGCTTGTTGTAATAGGCGACTAACGGGATCGGGTGGTCAGGCTCGCTGACTTGGTTGATGCATGTCATCGTATCCCAGTTGCGTGGATCGATGTTCATGTTTTCAAACACTGGATTGTGTGGTCCAGACTCGATTATTTACAGACCGTCGTTATATAGCTGGAATATTGCTGAGTCAGCGTTAATCCACAAATAAAAGCCTCCTGCATGGTATGACTGGATTTTCAACACTGAACTTTATGTAACCACCGAGACTATTTGTCAATATAATTCATGGTACAAACTCGCTAATTGCCTGGGCTATCTTCCTATCGTGGATTCAGCTTCATAAAACTCATAGAGGCTGTCAAGTCAACATTGTTCAGCTGCAAATTTCATTTTATCAGGTTATCAACCTGACGAACTACTCGCCGCTTTGTACAGTATTCCAGTTATATCACGGCGTGTCAGCTTGATGTGGGAGGAAAGCCTGAAGTGATGCAGGTCTAAGACGTTTACAACTTCGGTGAAACCCACGAGCACGGGTATGGTGCTGACAAACCTAGAAACAAAATCAGGGCGAACAAGGATTCGAACCCACAATCATAGGTCTCAGGCGTGCCCAAGGGACGCAACTCTGCACAGCAAATCGCGGCGCCTTAGACGACTGGGCCCCCCGTGCCCCCGAAGCCCACAAAGACGGTATAGTCAGGATTCGAACATACCGGTAGGTTCCTAGGATCCTGGCACGCCTAGGGGATGCAACTCTGCATGATATGATCAGGGGAATCATCGAGTGGCATCAAGGAGACCATTACATAACAAAAATATTACTTCAAACTCAGAAAATCGAACTCACTCATCTCAGAACGTCCCCTCAAAGGCAGCAAGAAGATTTACGACGTCAGATGTTAAGCTTGATGCAGAAATTCTACGTAAATAGTTAACAACTACAAGGGAATAAACTGGGTTTACCACACTTCGTACAGTATTTCAGTAAGGCAATCTGAAGTCACCAAGAACCATAACATTAAAATACATTCGAATGGCGAATAACGAATTTCTTGTAATTCGTCATTCAACTTTCACGATAATAATACAATAGAATGGGGAAGACGAATTTGTCAAATTACAACTTAAAAAACATTCGAATAACGAATGACAAATGGCATGCGAACTTCTGGTTGCCGTCTTTGATGAGGTGATGTGAAAAAGGGTTTAAGGTCGCTTCCACGAATATTGCAATTCTCACGTGTGCGTGCGTGCGAGCGTTCGTGCGTGTGTGATGAAAGTAGGGGGTGGCTGCTGGTACTTGTCTGGTCTGATGCCGGGTCTGTTTGCGGTAGCCGACTGGGATACCATGTATATCCCACTGAGACACACAGTATAGTGACTCTGAACCGACCCGCCCTTGTATAACCCCTTAATGCCGGGCGCCCCTAATAACAAACAGAATATGCACCATCATTTAACGCATCCCTCGCTCTCTTCTCTGAGTCGGTATCTATGTCAAGGTGCTGCATGGTATCTCACTGTCTTGTAAGACCGATATTAATTAGAACTGGTACAAGCACTCCATTATGCACATACACTCGGACAGGGGAGTAGCCTAGTGGTTAAAGAGAGTGGAGTGAGTATGGTTTTACGCCGCTTTGAGGAATACACCAGCAATATCACGGCGGGGGACACCAGAAATGGGCTTCACACATTGTACCCATGTCGGGAATCGTGGTTAAAGAGAGCGCTCGTCACGCCGAAGACCCGGGTTCGATTTCCACATAGGTACAATGTGTTACGTCCATTTCTGGTGTCCCCCGCTGTTATATTGCTGGAATATAAACGATACTCACTCAGTATCACAACAATACAATAACAAGGGAGATAACCAGGTTATAATTGGTCTTCAGCAACCCATGCATGTTATAAGAGGCGACTAACGGGATCGGGTGGTCATTCTCGCTGACTTGGTTCATGCTTGTCATTGTATCCCAATTGCGTTGATCGATACTCATGATGTCAAAACCGGATTGTCAGGTCCAGACTCGATTATTTACAAACCGCCGTCATACAGCTGGAATATTGCTGAATGTTGCGTTAAACAACAAACAAACAAACAATGAAGAATCGAACCCGGTGTCAACCACTATGAAATTCCGCCTCACCAAAAGCAAACAAGAATTTTCTGAGGTTTGTAATAGTATCATTAAAGTAATATAGGCAATGTAGAACTTAAAAATGTGCTCTCATTCAAAGAAAGAGTAAAAACATCTTTCAAAGTTTTAAATCACACGAGCAATGTGATCCTCAGGGAAATGGCGCCCATTAGATTAAAAGTAAAAAGCTTAATTTCCATTTTACGAAATTTGAATCGTGTCTTTTCTTTGTGACATTTCATCTTAGACTTAAAGAACTCCTCCTTCATACAGTGTCGATATCGGTGACTTTTGCAGCTGTTGCCTAAACGTAGAACAAAATTTAATGAAGCTCGTTTTTTCTGTCAGCGATGATTTATCAGTGTCTCCGATAGCTGTCAGGTGCATGTCAAGAACAGTGTTGGAAATGTATGTCACGATGCTTTATAAAATGATGCAACTATGTCTCTGATGCCCACTTCCGCTGAAATTCCTCCTGTGAGTGAGTGAGTGAGTGAGTGGGTGGGTGAGTGGTGTGAGCTCTGGGTGGGTGAGTGAGTGGGGGGGTGGGGTGGGTGCGTGGATGGGTGAGTGAATGAGTGGGGTTGGGTGGGTTGAGGTAGGGTAGGGTGGGGTGGGGTGGGTGGGGTGGGGTGGGGTGGGGTGAGTGAGTGAGTTAGTGAATGGGTGGGTGGGTGGGTGGGTGAGCGAGTGGGTGAGTGGGTGAGTGGGTGGGTGAGTGAGTGAGTGAGTGGGGTGGGTGAGTGAGTGGGTGGGGTGGGTGAGTGAGTTGGTGGGGTGGGTGAGTGAGTTGGTGGGGTGGGTGAGTGAGTGAGTGAGTGAGTGAGTGAGTGCATGGTTGGGTGAGTGGGAGTGAGTGAGTGAGTGAGTGAGTGAGTGCATGGTTGGGTAAGTGGGAGTGAGTGAGTGAGTGAGTGAGTGAGTGAGTGACCTGCAACTTCATGAGGAGCGAACGATTACACCACCACGCTTGAAGAAGTCTGTGCCTGCAAGACGGGCCTTAACAGTTAGCACATACTCAAATCTTTACACATAATGTGATATTTGTTTGTTGTTTAACGATGCACTCAACAATATTCGAGCTACATGATGGATGTCTGTAAATAACTGAGTCTGGACTAATTCAACTTCCCCTTAATATTTCCGTATGTCAGGTCTCCAACTTTCTGTCCGTCCCTTTCCATCTTCTCGAGGCAAGGGAATTATTTGACTATAAAAGTTCAGTTTCCACCCGTGGCGAACTAGGCTGGAATTCTGGAGTTACATTTTGGCTGGATTAACGAGTCTATGAATAGTCCAATCAAAATCGCCCAACGAATGACATGAATTTCAACGTGCAAATTTCGGTCGACTGCAGGATTTGAAAAGCATGTGTACCGCCAACTGGGCGTCGACAGATAATTTGCATTTTTTTTTTCAGTTGTTTAATGAAGGTGCTCAAGTGATTGGATGCATTTCGCGGGGTAGGACCAGTTTTATTACAATATAGATCTTAGTTATCGATCAGATCAACTTGACTGGGCGCCGCCATTTTGTTTGCAAGTGATATGAGAGATGGAATCTGATTGTCAATAGGAAGGACATAGAAGGGACATAACTCGCAATAACCACTGGTGGCGCTACGATCAAGTCTGGAAATTCCAGCCCAGTTTGGCAAGTGAGTTTGTCTAGGGAAGATGGGCCCTTTGCTGTCAGTTAATAGAGACAAAAGTATTTTTAATTGGGCTCGTGTATTCATTATTTTTATTATTCGCACGTGAAGAGATCACC